CCAACGTGAAGTAAAAATAAATTGTATCTTTCCTTCCCTCTCCCCTCACTTCCCCACCCCCACCCCCTACCCCCCTCCCCCCCCTCCACGATTTTTCATTCGTATTCACGTGCCGTCAACATTGGTTGAGTTCGCAAGAATACCGCATACATGAATTGAAGCGTAAGAAGGTGAGTAAGCTATTAGGTTCAGGTTGAGAATTGAGAGATATTGAAAGCTACGATTTATTTTTACTTCACGTTGGAATGAATCGCGTTGGCGCGAATCGTTAATTGCGCTTTGTTTGATAAATTCGTACACGATTCGTATTCTTGCTAAAATGTGTTCTCATTTTTATCTAAACTAAATATTGCCTTTCAGTTTGCATTTGTTCATTCTGTCTAGTGCAAGACAAATTTCAAATGTTAATCATTATGCACCCTACAGCACTTGGCTTCTTACACTTTTCTTCCCTGAAACTGTCTCATCTAAATGAGGGCCGAAATATATCATTTTGTATTAGGTGTGCGAATAATTGTTTGCAATTTGTTTTTGGGCACAATTCAATGGAGGTGTTATAAGTAAATGTGCTGCGAAGTTACTTTGTTCAATGTATTGCACTGTATTTCTCTTTTCTTTCCCGCAAAGTTTGAATGAGAAGTGAGACTACCTATTAATCAATCCATATTTGGGTATCATCTTAAGGCATCAGGAGGCATCGTCCAATTAAACGATAAGTTATCTAAATGCAAACGCGTGTTAAGCGCAAAAAGTAAGAGTGCTGCTGCCAGCATTGACGAGGGTGAGACATGCCAGGTTAAAATTGCAAAGCTTAAGCGAATTTCGCTATATGGGGTACGAGTTCTTCATATTAATCGCTCGCGATAACAAGTTTGTTTGGTATCTTGCGCTTGGTTATTGTCCCAAATACATCGCTTCGATTTTCACCTAAGCCACTCTGCTCGGTGAGACGAAAACAAATGTTCAACTCAATTAAGCGTTTGCCTATGAAGAGTTCCTCACCGCTTCACGACTTTTTCTTTTAAATGAGTCTCTGTCCAAGATCCGATTCTATGCAATTTAGTCAAAATGATCGTGAAAATGACGACATGTACTTATTGATGAAGTCCTTGTAGGTTTTACATGCATTCGTGTAAGATAGGGTACATGGTAATAGCAATCTTTAATTTGCATATTTAGAAAGTTGGCCATTGAACGCTAGACTTCAGCGAATGTAGCAAAATTGATAGTTATCGGAATTTATTGCAACCACCAGCACTTTGACTTTGAAAATCTCGCCTCGATAAATCAAGGACTTGTAAATTTCATATTTGCTCTCAGTTACTAACTGAGAACTAATTAACCTCAGACAATGCATTGATAATAGTGCTGTGATGAAGTTCGAATTCATACAACAATTAAAATTATGTTTTTTTAATGACGTATGATGTATAGATTTTCGTTTGAGATTTTTTCAAATTAATACTTACCGGTACTACACGATTTTTAACGCCCCAGCAGAGTGGCTTAAATGAACCTTTTCGCGTGGCCTCTTGAAATTCATTAAACTGATTTCGCCAGTCATATGATAAAAGTCGAACTTCTAATGTCATGCCAGCCAGTTCGGGAGGTGCTGATATTAGTACAGGATTTGAGTCACTAAAAATATTTAAATCAAAACAAAAGAAAAACATACATTTTATAAATAAAAGATTTAAAAACTAATTACTAAATGAAAGGATGAAAAACTATGGCTTTTATTTGCTTTGATTGAACTCTTAAAACTTTTTCCCATTTTTGTGCTTCAAAAATAATGCAGAACTTTATTGTATATAGTATGTAAAAATTGAAAAGCGATTGTTTAACCGAATTTCAGTTTGAAGTGGAAAAATTATTCGGTTTCGGTTTTGTTTTCATTCATTAATTTTTTGCAAATGAGTTGAACGCGCGATGAGGAGTGGGATAAATGAGACAAAGAACGAGAGTGAGAGAGTGAGAGAGAGAGAGAGAACTAAGTGAAAGAGTGTTAGAGAGAAAGAGTAATAAATGGAAAGGGAAACAGTGAAACGTTAAGGGGAATAGAGCAGGAGACGATCTAAAATTCACGTTACTACTGGTAATATATTTTAACCTAAATTCATCATCGTTTCAATAGTTATGTAGCAAGTTTTTCAGTTTAATAATGAGATACTGACTCGACCTAATTACGTTGCATTTGCAAGGAATACTACCTTCATTGATTTATATATATATATATATACATATATATTTATATGTATTTGTATGCGTTATATGTAAGTTTATATATATATATATATATATGCCTATGAATATAGTGTCTATACGCCCGCATAAATATCATCAAAGAACAGGCAAACTGTTGGTTATAGCATGACGTGCAAGTAAAACTAAAATTCCTAATATATATATATATATATATATATATATACACACACACACATACACACATACACACACATATATATATATATATATAGTTCATTATATCATTCATTCACTTCATCACCACGATTATTATAATTTTCATTTCAATAAAAGTTACTTTTAATGCAATGTGGAAACTTACGTCGCCAGCTGCTCAATACCCAACGAATGAAGTACAGTTGGCAGGCTCGGAAGCGAGTGACAGGTTGTTAGCTTATTTTGGCGGGGATAGTAAAGCATCAGAACAATGCAGCTTTCTTCCTTCATGGTTAAGCCACCTTTAATGTATGAGTGAAAAAGAAGAAGAAGAATAAACGAAACAGGAATAGAAAGAGTCAAACATTGAAACAAACAAAGCAAAGCAAATCAAAAGAGTAAAAAAAAAAACAAAAAAAAAAAAAAAGAAACAAAAAGAAAGAAATACAAACAAGTGAGAATTTTAACTAAAGTCGGTTAGAACCGACCCTTTGTATACGTATATCTCTTAGGGGATTTATTTTATTTATACAAAATTAAACCTGATACCCATGACTCATACACTGACATATCATCAGCTCATTGTCAGCAATGAACATGGGTTGCGATGTAGAAAGTGATTTTCAATTGCTTTAAAAAAAAAAAAAAAAACAAAATAAAAAAAATTAAATGAAAAAAGAAAACAAAAGTAAACTATAATTCTTTCTCAAAGCTTTCTATGGTTGCTATCCAAGCGTCTCCGCAAAGTTAAGGTAGGGTGTGGTGCCACAATCATCATTCTCGGTTACATATAAAGCAAATAAAAAAAAAAAAAAAATTAAATTTGAACGACAACTAGCACAAAATCACAACCAGGGAAACAAAGGTAAATAGGATTTTTGTACCGCGTCATATAAAAACGTCCATGAGTACATATTTTATTGTAATAATAAAATATAAAAACAAAAAGAAAGGAAATGTCAACACCACTGAACACTGAACACTGAACACTGAACACAGAACAGTGAACATCGAACAGAGAGTCACATTGTTTCAATGTGAAATGGAAGTGAAATTATGGACGAGTGCATTTTCTACGATATTCTGGTTTTGCTTTTTCCCTTATTCTTGCTATGGCGGGATTGTGTATTACCTGGTGGACAGAGAATATGATGATTGCTTGGTGGGTTACACATACATATATATATATATATATATATATATATATATATATGTGTGTGTGTGTGTTTGTTTGTTTATGTGTGATTATCCCTTTTCTTCTCGTTTTTTTTTTTTTTTTTTTTTTTTTTTTTTTTTTTTATTATTCCATTTTTATATAATAAGTAAATATTCAGTGGAGCAGTTGGTTTAAATTGACTTCAGTGACATACAATGAAACTGATGATGACAATGACATCAACAATACTAACAACTGACTGGCGTATAGACAAACAGACAGACTTTATTACCTTACGGCAATAACATAGATAGTAACGGAATGAACAAGAAAGATAAACTACCTCAGAAGGTATATATCATGGAAAGAAAGACTTGGTACTTCTCGTCACTTTAAACGAATTTTGTTGATCGCTAAAATGGCTCAGAATAGATCTTGCAATTGAAATTTGCCTCTTTTTGCTTATTTATTTATTTATTTTTTTTGCTTTTAAATTTGACGTAAAGCTAATGCTATGAAATAACGAAAAATATAAAGAAATTTAATTTTTTGTTGTTGTTGTTGTTGTACACATTTTACTACAATATATGAAAGGTAATTTTTTTTTAATCCTTCACGTCGTAAATGTGTCATTTTTCAATCAATGTGTCAATGTATTCTCTGGAATTTCTATCAAATCGCCATAATTGCAGACTTCTCGTATAGAACGTCTGCTTCTATATGAGATGTATATGTGATAGAGAAAAAGTCTTTCGAAAATTTTTAAATGTCGCAAAGATTATGAGAAATTTAATATACAGATGCATTCTGACAATATGTTTACCGACGATGGGATGGGACGTAAATGTGAATGCATTTGAAAAGAAACGAAAAGTTTAGTTGGTACCTACTTACCCAGAGTGATTGCTTTTCGTGACGAACTGTCATAAATGCATTCAGCTATTAGTCTATCGCCTGGTAAGGCTCGTACGGGCGCCGTTAGACGTCGAAAATCCTGATAGGCGACATCTATATTGCTGTCGTGAACAATTGGTGGCAATTCTTCGGTTTGACGAATCTACAAAATAAATTTGTTCATTACTATTATAATGCGCTTACGTTTTGTTTCCATCGTGACTAGTATGTGAATTTCAATAAAACTGCAGACATATCATATATGTGTACGTGCAATGTACAAATAAAAAGGACAATTATATATATATATATATATATATATATATTTTATTTGAAGATATCGACATATTTCATATATATATATATATATATACATATATATAAAATATATATATGTATTTATATATATACGAATGATTGCGGCCATCATCTGTGTACACAAGTGAAACAAATGTTGATTGTTTCCTGACTTGACAACATACGACCGATAGTTGACATTATTAGCTATATATGTGTCCTCATATGCTTGCAGTTATACATGCATACATATGTACAATTCATGTATACACCTTAAGAGCATTTTCTGATGCTGCTCGTGCAGCTGCTATACAAACCTGACGTAGTTTGATTTCCTTTCCAATTAAATGAGTGCGCATCATTACCGCAAATATGTGTATGCCATCCATTGGAAAGGCGTATGCAGTGCAATCTTCAATGCAATGACCCTCAGAGATGACTTGACTCTGCCCCGGCGGTATTATATGACGCCAATTGGGATCCATCCCTATATATAATAATAATAAGTAATGCACATAAACATTGAAATGAAATTAAGCGGATTTTTCATAGTATTTGTGTTGAGATGATATGATATCTATTGAATTATTCTGAACGAGAGCATATAATGTTAAATTGTTTTACTGTTGTTTCGACCTGTGTGTGTGTGTGTGTGTGCATTTACCTTTAGAAATTGCAATATTCCCAAGGATCAGTTTATAAACCGTTTGTTAAAACAATGATATAATAACTGCAATGTTAGTACGATTTTGCTTTTATTGTTTTGCTGTTTTTTTTTTTTTTTTTTTTTTAAATTTAATTAAGATCTTGTTTAAGAAATGTACTTTAATTAAATTTTATTTCAATGAATTTCAAAAAACAAAAAAAAAAAAAAACACAAACTATTCTGCATCACACCGCATATCGTTGACACAAATATCAAAATGAAAATTTCTCAGATTCCAGGTCAAGTTGCACAAAATTTTGGTCTATTGCCAACACATGCCGCTGAGTAGTGCGCGTTTGTGCATCTTATGTTCAATTTTTGTTTGCCGTTGATAAATAAATACACATATGTGGGAATGTACGTATGTACATATACGTATATATGTATATATGTATATATGTGTGTGCGCCTATGTTATGTCAACATATTTATTTTATAAACATAAACATGCATAAAGTTTTGCTAAATTATTCAAATAGTTATTGAATATTATTTACATCTATGAAAAACATATATATATATATATTTTTTTTTTTTTTGCTTGCATTCAACCATACAGCGCTTATGAGGATTGCATTTCAGAAGCGTTCAGAATTTTGTTTTTGAAATTCTCGTTTAATTTCCTTTTTCATATATGCGTCACATTAAAACTTTACTTCAACATCATTGACGCACATCGTGCAATAACTAAAAATCTCGATAAAAATTAATAACGAACGCGATATTTGATGCTTGCTTATGTTCATGTATGAACATCTACGATTTTTCGTGCAATTGGGGGCATGTCAATACCGCATGTTCTAATAGCATATAACTTAAATTTGTTCAAAATGATTGCTTCAATTGATAGATCACTAAGAAAATCATAGCCTTCACAAGGGAGAACCTGTATTGCTCGTAAGGTGTAATCGATGAATTAAAATTCCAAGAAGTACATCATTAATTGGGAATTTCTCATCTAATTGGAAGGGATAATTTTAATATCGAATCATTGCCACTGAATATATTTTTATGAGTTTTTGGATTGACATCTGTCATAGTTCAAGTTATAATTTCTCTCTCATAGTTTGTAAAACTCAGAAGAACTTGAGATAGATCTATCGTTTCTTATACCCAATCTTTTCGCAATAATTTGCAAAATTCGATTTAACCAAGTTTTGTTAATTTATCCGTCTGTCCAATAACCGCCCCTTTATTAGGTTGGAGTTTGCAAAATATTTCGATAACAAGATTAGGCTCAAAAATTAAGGCATTTTTATGCCCTCCCTCCACATGAAGTGTTGTCTTAAAAATGTCATTAAATGCCTACCACTTAGGATACCAAACGAATCTCGAAAATTTGAACATGCTAGGATAATTTAGTGGATCTCCTTCCGCCTAAATGGTCTTAGAAAAAATAGCCTTTCGCATGTTAATGGGTTTCTATTTGTATTGTTTTGATGATTTTAAATGGAAAATAAATATATTGCGGTAAGTTCTGGTCCGTCCTATTATAGGGAATTGCCTTGCGAAAAGCAAGTCCTCATAAGGCATTAAGATATTTTATGACACAGAGAGGCGAAGAATTGCATTAAATTTAATAGTGTGGGGCATATGATGATCGGGCTTGTCCGGCTTTTTCGGGTTGTCCGGCTAACCTCTTCAAATATGTTTTCACTACGCTAGGATTTAATATATGTATGTTTTTTTTTAGTTATTGTAGGACTGACTGTGAACAGACATTCATGCTCACATTTTCATAATTTATGATTATGACCATTAATATCAAGAGCACAGATGTCAAGTTTCCTTCTTTTTTTTTTTTTTTTTTTTTTTTTTTTTTATATTGTACATCCTATGGATTTTCATGGACCGACAGAGTGAAAACAATTCCAGATCATGCGATTATCGAAGCCATATACATTTTATAATATCTGTATTGCATATTATTTGCAGGTGTCAAAAATGAAAGGAATCCATTCCTTTGTATTGTGCTTGAAATTTCGTCTACGTTTATAAAAAACGATGACTTAGTACTTTTGCTATACAGTTACGATATATAGAGCGTAGGAATTTTAAATGCATTCAGTTTCGATGCAGTATAGTACTTTTTGCGAAATGTATGTTAGAGAAGTATTGTATGTACGCGTAATAATTTGGAAGGTTAGAGCATCTTAAACATAACGTTTCATCTCTGTGATCATATGGATGTTAAAGTAAATAATGTCTATAACCGTAACTGGTGTTTAGCTGTTAAATTTCATCGACATTAAATTTGCCAAAGGAAAAGGTACAATTCAAAAATAAATCGTGTAAAGTTTTGGTTTTCAACGGACGTATAAAGGCCTACAAGCAGGCGTTTACAGTGAAGTGAATCACGATAAAAGCAAATTTTTTTTGATTTTCTTTGAGTTTTTGGCTCCTGTTACCTTATGTTACCTGATGTTTACTAAACGTAATGACTAAGTGCATTTAGTACTTATTTCTATTACGGTTGAAGAAGCTTTTAAATATCGTAAACCTTGTTGTAGCAATTAATCCTTTGATATTAATTAATGTTGAAAGGAACGGTAACTCAAATGTTGAGTAGTGAATGTTAAAATATATGTTATAATCGCATAAAATAGATTACATTATATATATATATATATATATATATATATATATATATATGTATGTATGTATATATAGTACCTAATAATCATAATAAATATATATATATATATATATATATATATATATATGAATGTATGAATTTGTGAATTAAGTGCGTATAGGTAAGCTATGTAAGCATGCACATGTATGTAAGATAGTGTATGCATTTATTTGATAGCTCCCTTCAATTAACGTAATGGACGTAAAAGCATTGTCATATATTCATTACTCACCTATTGAAAGTACTCCAGCATCGTGGCGACGCAAAACATGAGTAAAGTAGATTTTTAATCCGGAATTGTCGGCCATTTGTCGGTTGGCATGTAATTGTGTTAAATCAGGCTGTAAATTGTTGTAATGTGTCTCCATTAGATAATATTTGGCTTGACGAGACTCCATGGGATAGCCGGTCTCGTCTGGGAATGTGAAACTCTATAAAATAGGAAAAGCAACGAAAACGAAAAAGTGAAAACAAAACAAAAACAATACAAACCAGTAGAATAACAATAATTGCTGCAGGCGCTTATTGTACATAAAGGATGTCAATGTAATAACACACAAATGCACGTTACATGTTTGTTGCTACATTTATAGATTTATATGCTGCATGTTTTTATGCATATATATATATATATATATATATATATATATATATATATATAGTATAGTTATAGTTATTTGTGTGCATTAGGTGCATGTCCCTGTTCGTATGCTTATGCATACATATGCACATATGTTTAAATTGGTTGTCGTAGACATCTCGTTATTGCTGAAAGATGAGAATTTTTATTGCAACAAAAGCTTTTTATAGCGAATGGCATGAATAGCGCGTTGCGTTACGTTGCGTACACTTTGCAATCCTTTTTATCCCATATATCTATACACACTATATATACCTTTATACGTATTTATATGCCCGCGTGTGTATAAAAAATGTATAGTTTATGTCATTGTGCATATGAGTACGTGTGCATGTGCGTGTATTGTGCATAAGAGTAATTTGTCATGATGATGTTGCAGGCAATACAATCACATTGTATGCTGGCTACATATATGTGTTGAAGGCATATTAATGGGTACTATTGCTAGATAGAGGGGATTGTGGTCGCTATTCAATAGCATAGCTTAATTTTTTCATTTTTTTAATTTTTTTTATTTTTACATATATAGTTTTTTTTTGTGTTTTTTTTTTTTCTTTTTTGTTTGATTAGTTGCTTGGGAAGCGGTTCCAGCTTGAGCTGGTGGAATTGAATCAAAATGTCTTTTTCATATTTTGCATTCGTCTGATAGTCAATGATGTATTGCTGCGTTCTAATGGTCGAAACACTAATAATAATAACTGCAACAACAAAAGTAAGAGCAACGATTACAAAAACTTACATTAGAGCCTCGTGACCACGAAGCAACAATAGCATTGCACGCTAATGGTATATCACGGGCGCCCATACACTGTCTGCCCTGTTCGCGTGCCATTTCCTCCAATTCCTGATGCATACCATGACATTCACGCAACGTTATATGCTGTAAGTTATGCACGCTGGCCGGTGAATCGTAAATGGGTTCGTACTGATGTCATTCAAACATTCATAGAATGCCGAGCAGTAAAATGAAAAAGAAAAGGAAAAAGATATACACCATTGATGCATTACTATCATCACCGTCGTCGTCGTCATCGTAATCGTCATTATTATCATCATCATGATTGTGCATTATACGCACATGCAATATATGAATTAATAGCATAATACAGTGTGTGGTTATCGGGTCTCATCAGCTGTACGAATTTATGTTTGCGTTCATTGCGCTTTCATACTCACCCTGATTAGATGATGTTTACGTTTCATATCATCTAACTTGAATGTTTTGCACCAAATTAAAGTTTCATCAGCACCGGGCAGTTCAACATCTTCATTACGTAGTTCCAGTATACGTACATATTCTTCGTGTTTGAATTGAATATGAGGCCGCTGTGTCAGCACTATTGGTCTGTAAGGTCGAAACGAGCTAGCAGGATTAGGTAAATGACCAGCTTTGACGGAACCATGCGGTGGATCACGTTCATTGTACATGTATAATAGACGCATCGTATCATTCTGTTGCAATTATATAAACGAAATTAAAAATTTTCAATGTAAAGAATACTCCAAAGTTATTTATATACATTATGATATAATTCAAACTGTTTTCATTAAAAATCAATTATATGGATGCGAAGGATATGTGTTTTGAAAGATGACTATCCACATACATATACATACATACATACATACATACATACATGCATACACACATTCACGCATACATATTCACGCATACACACAATCAATCATATTGCGCTTGCCAAACACAGTTAAGCGTAGAGTCATTCCATAGCATAGTGATCAGGATTTGCTACTAAGATTATGCTGACTAAGGATAAGAATTGCCTTAATAATCTACAAAGAATTGAATGGACTTGAAGAAAAATTCGATTCGGAAAATGTTGGACAAAAGAATGATTATACGTAGGCGCTTCGCAGTTAATTTGGCTCATACTCATATATTCTAATGAAGCCAACAGTCGATTAATATTGTAATAGACAAAAGACGTTGCATATCTAGCTTGGAAACAACTTCCATTGACTTACCATTATAAAAAAATCATGATGATTGCACAATAGATTTGATTATTAACTTTCGCACCTTTTTTGTTTGGCATTCGCATACCATTTACTTCGTCTTCTTTTATTACTTCAATGTGGAAGAGAACAGATGTCCCTACGGCTTTAACGGCCGGCTGTGGTTGTTTTACTGGACAGCATTGAATTAAGTGTTGCGCAGCTCATTGCGCTCTAGGCGTGTATAAGCCAACGGAATTCTAGATCGGTTTATTTATTTATTTATTTATTTATTCTACTTATACTAGAAACTCAACTAAACAAATAACAGTCGAGTTCAATTGGCTCTTAATGCAAAACTTATATTAATTAATAATAAAATTTAGTATAAGTAAAATAATAAAACAAATAAGAAGAAAAAAAAAAAGCATGTACACTATCAGCATAGGGCCATACTTACAACCGGTACAGGACCAAATTGCAAATGAATCCCTAAACCATCGCAAACATGCATAAGCCTGGCAACCGATAATAAATTGACAATAATTCATTTTCGAAACGTAACGACTTTTTAAGGATAAAAGCTACTTTAAATACGACATAGGTAAATCGCGCGTATTAAGCAATGTTGCTTTAATGGACTTTAAAGAGTCCGATAACGAGAATAAGTGGTAGACGTTATTTAGGTTCGTGCAAACGACTCTGAGCGGATTGACCAGCTCATAATTAAACTTACACTGACTAAGCTTAACCAAGATAAAGTGCCTAGAGAAGCGGTATATTTCTTTTAAATATTTCTTTTACTTTGAATTCACTCACTTTCTTCTCAAAGTGTTAGTTTGGGGAAAAAGAAATCCATTATTTTTTCGGTAAATGGCTGCACTGATAGATTTCTCGTAAAGTATCGATCAAACAATTTCAGATATATGCTCGTTGGAAAGGTGACATTTTGCAGTAAAAAAAATTCTTTTGCTGTTTTTTGTTTGGTGCATTCAGTTGTGAGTTACAGCGTGTTACAAATGGAAGTGAACAAAGAGAAAATTCGGTACATTTTACAGTTTTTCTTTGACAAAGGCGAAAATGCAAGCCAGGCGGCTAAAATTGTGAATGGTGTTTATGGTTCCGATACTGTAACAGCCAATTATGTGCAATTTTGGTTTCGTAGATTCCGTTCAGGAATTTTTGATGTTAAAGCTGCACCTCGCACAGGTAGGCCGGTAGTCGAAAATGTCGATAAAATCGGAGAAATGATCAAAGTTGACCGGCATGTTCGCAGTCGTAACATCGCCCAGGAGCTAAAAATCGACCATAAAACAGTTTTAAACCATTTACACAAAGCTGGATTCAAAAAGAAGCTCGATGTTTGGGTGCCACACCAATTAACAGAAAAAAACAACAAGAATCGAATTTCCATCTGCGTGGCCTTGGCCAAACGAAATGAGATAGACCCATTTCTTAAACGGATGGTGACTGGAGATGAGAAATGGATCACATACGATAACCCTGTGCGAAAACGATCCAGGAAGGTTTTGCTGTGCATTTGGTGGGACTGGAGTTGCTTCCATATGGCCGAACGCTAAATTCTGATCTCTACTGTCAACAACTGGACCGTTTGAAGATAGCGATTAACCAGAAACGGCCAGAATTGGCCAACAGGAGAGGTGTCGTGTTGCACCAGGACAACGCTAGGCCACACACATCTACAGTGACTCGCCAGAAACTTCGGGAGCTTGGTTGGGAAGTTTTAATGCATCCGCCATACAGTCCGGACTTGGCACCAAGCGATTATCATCTTTTTCTTGCATTGCAAAATTTTTTTATTGATAAAAAATTGGAATCTAGGGAGGATTGTGAAAATCGACTACTAGAGTTTTTTGCAAATAGAGACCGGGACTTCTATGAGAGAGGCATTTTGAAGTTACCTTTAAAATGGCAACAAATCATACAACAAAATGGTGCATATTTGACCCAAATCGGACAATCCGAAGCATGTTAAATAAAGTCCTGAAGTTCATATAAAAATAATGGATTTCTTTTTCCCCAAATTAATATATTATAAATTTAAACACTATATGGCAGAATAGCCACGAAATTCAAGAAAAAATTAAAATATTAATTTCCGAAGCAAAATATAGACGACTATACCGCGCGACAGAGTTGCCAGACTTATATAATATTACGAAGCCATTGTATATAATTTTAGGTGAAGGTCAGCGAAACCCTTTGCTTGCATCAAGAACTTGCTCGTACTAAGACACTTTGCCTCTCTCTCCTTCTCTCCTTGCCGAGAAACAATTAAGAAATGAAACATGACACTTAAAGTCATGCAGGCTATCAGACATTTCTTAATGACTAAGCAAAAGTGCCGAGCGTAACAGATGTCCGCCAATTTCCTCAACATAACTTTCAATTTCACTTTAGCTCGCAGATCTCCATGATAGCAAGATGATAGAGAAGATAAGGTGTTTCCTAATAGAAAAAAATTCATCAACTTTTCTATGTGAGATCCCATCGGCTTGATCAGACAATAGATGGATTGATGTAAAATTACAATCATTGCAAACGTCCCGATAAATGAAGAATAAAAACCTTTTTGATAAGAATCAATTCGCTTTTAGACTTCATAGTGGTCGTTGGCCAAATAAAGGTAGAAAAGCAAAAAGCGAAATTGTATCGGCAATGACTTCATTTCACTCTTTATGCGCCGTTCTACGGAATAAGACATGCCTTAAAGTCGATTAAGCAGTCCTGTCTGATAAAGCCTTTCGATACTCTATTGAGATATTTACGGTATTTTATCGCAAAACTTTAGAACTGAGCAAAAACAAAAGTTTACGAGCAGGGTACAGACAGGAGAAGATTTGTATATCCGTCTCGAGTAGGTAAAATTAAACGCATGAAAGACTTGGCAAAATAAGTAGACTTTTGATCAGCGTACGATTATGGAATGAATGAACCAAAAAAGTTATATAGAAATCGGAAATTTGACATAGGCGTGGTAAGTTTAAAAATGCGCTTAAAATATTTTCTAATTTCCACGCGTCCGCATGTCGAGCTGAGACGAAAGATAACGAAGTTTCTTTCCAAGTTCTATCCTAGCAGGGCGATCCATCCTATTATATTAGTGTTGTATACATTTTGTAAACGTCATACCATCTATTTGCACAGCGACTAGAAAATTTTTAAAATCTATTAAAATCCATGAAAAACTATGTTAGGCTGAATTTCGCTTGGTATGAGAAGTTTATGGTCAGCATAATCGATCTACAGAGCTCATTACTATCAATAATTTAATTGAAAAATCGAATATAATTGGAATGTTTTGAGTGCAACCCGCACTTAATGGGTAATTGAAAATGATATTGCCATTATCGTCAATGGTGAAGGGTGCAGAAATATTGTTACTGATTTTTTGTGTTATGGATTCAAGGAGCAATGGCTCAGGTTTCAAGAAGATAATGCAACATGCCACAGATCTCTTGACATAATCAATTTATTGAGAGAAAAATTCAATGATTGTGCAAATCTCCAGAAATGCCGACATGAGCCGGCCATCGAGGTCATGCGATATGACATCATTGAACTATTTCTTTGAGGTTATGTTTAGTGATTGCTTCACTCTAATAAAGCACAAATTCTCAGTGACATTATTACCAGTGTTAGTCGTGTTATTGGGGAAATAAATGCAGGTCTATATAAAAAAAAAATTAGGTTCAAAATTCTTGTTTCAAAATTGTGTTGTTAAAAATTGAGAAAGAAACGGAAACCATCTCGGAAAACACTGACAATTTTTCTTCTTTTTTTTTTTTTAATTTTCATCTATGAGTTTCGATTTCGTGGGTGTATTTCTGGAAAACTACTACTATCAATTTGTTGTCCAGAACTAATTGCATGTCCGGTGCAAAAGTGATTTTAATCGATTTACTAACAATTTCACAATTAACGCCAAGATTTTAATTCGAACTTGTTTCAAATTTATTGCCAATTGATTCCTAGCGCAGATTGCATTGGATTTTCTTACTAATTGTGAAAAATGATTGCAACGATTTTTGGACTGAATATGAAAGTGACCCTAGGGAATAACTATGTTATGGATTTAAAAAAAAATTAAAAAAAATATATAGCTTCATAGGATCATAAGTTACACAGGAAGTTATGAAAAAAGTGTCAATATTTGCCGAGATTGTTTTAGTTCCTTCTCCAATGGGGGCGGCAAGTATGTGAGCACATCACACCCATCTTTCGATCTCGTATTCGTAATCGATCGACGAGTGTTTGCGCCAAATTTCAGATTCCTATCTTCATTTTTGCGACTGTGAGAATTTACAACATTTACCCATTAAGTTGATAGGTTTCCGCAAAATCCAGTATTAAAAAAAATGCAACATAAACTTATTTTTTGGGACATATTTTATTCTTCGTACAACTGCCAAGAAAAAAAAAGAATGAAAAGTGATACAAAGGAAACTTTCACCCAATGGTCATCTCTATTTGCCAAATTTATGTGCAGTCCGTGCGCGCCAGGGGAGCACAGAACAGCGAGGCTACTTCGGCCTTCATGGGGGATATAAAATTATTAAATGGTGGGAATTCTGTTTACCTATGAGTTTATCTGCTTTAAATTGGAAAAGAAAAAGAGGCCATCGTATTAAAAACAAAAAAAACAAAAAAAAAAAAAAACTTTAATTAAATGCTGTCACTCTCTCGGCGACAGATTTTTGTATCGAAACTCAGTTTGCGAACAAATTAAAGCAAATGTTGTTCAAAAAAAAAAAAAAAAAAAAAATAGTAGTACATGTAAACATATACATGCAAAATGTATAAAAAAGAGAAATGCATGTACAATACCTCTACTCTTACTCATGCATACATACATACATACATTTGTAGACGTTCAACAGCCAGACATTTTCATAAAATCATTGCTAGACTTTTATTGGAATTCAAAATACTACCCGAAACTTACCATAAATTTTGTATATGCATGTATATATATATATATATATATATATATATATATATCAACGCATTCAATGTACGCATGTATACAAGAACACACTCATATATACTTACAAAATGTCAACGCAATATAATACAAAACTATTACGGTCTTATTACTCTTCACATAATATTTGTCGGCTGCTCCAAGCTTCGTTTGCTTATGCTTATGCTCTGCATGTATATGCATGCATAAATATATATAGATATGGATATGTGTATACATAGATATACATATTTATTAATGTACGTTTACATTTGTATCTCTTTGCATATTTGTGTGCGGGTGTACGGGTGTGCGGGTGTGCGTGTTTGTTTGTCTGTATCGTACGTGCTTTATTAAAGTGTTAAAGACATTGTCTGAACTTTGTTTACGTCGAAAGTTAGTGGGTGAATGTAAGCGTCATCTACACAAACATATTTAAATAATGAATTCAATGCGATATTTTAAGAGTTCGTTTATATGAAAAATAAAAATAAAAATCAAAAGACAACAAAAACAATAATAACATGGCTCATTTGTGTAAACATACGATTTTGGCCTCAATCAAATATTAATGTTGACACTTTTCATTGCTCTCAAATTGATTGCATTTGATTTGTGTCTTGTAAAGGCTTCTTCTTGTTTTCATTTCATACTCTGCGGGCAAATTTTGGCAATTGGATCGATATAATATCGAAAACCTGATTATTTCAATCATTTATTCGTTGCATAGAATCAAAAAGGAATTTATTTTCAATCAATTTGTAACATTTGCTCAAATGACACATATTATAAATTCTTACATATCCTTTCACGTATTCATATGCTCATGCAAACACATACACATACACACACACACACACACACACACACACACACACACACACACACACACACACATACATACATACA